GTTGTTGACATGTTTAAAATAAAAATGTTTAAATGTAATATATTTTTCTCCTGGTCTTTATTTTAAACGGGTCATAAAAAATGTCAATAATTATCGATATCGACCGATATGAAACACTCATATCGTGATACAGTTTTCAGTCATATCGCCCAGCCCTATGTTGGACTGATGCCAGTGTAGGCAAGGATTGTTATGGTGACGAGTAAGGGTTAATAGAAAACACCTGTGAGGCGGAAGTATGGACAATATAAAATGTCAGAGAAGGAGTGAGCAGGGAGGCCTCCCTATGCTCGGTGGTGTTTGGAATCCACGCTGCAGCTGCCATATGCGAAGGCGTGTATCTCGGGGAGAATATCGCAGTGCTGGGACATAAGATGAGTATTGGTGGGGTGCGCCGGATTGGGAAGTAGCGACGCAGGTCCGCGTTTGGTGGCGGCGGCGTGGACTCCAGGCGTCACGGGAAAGGTTTGTGGTTCCCGTTAGAAGCCGGGGTATTATTTACGTTGTGGGTTTTTTTGTTTTCGGGGGATTGTGATGTCTTCCCCCGACTAGTTAATTTAAATTCTATTGTTTGATATGAATTGATTTTTCTTTTTTTGTGTGTGTCTTTTTATGTAGGGGGAACCACATGTTCATTTGTATTCTTGACCCTTGTCACAGATGTGAGCTGTCAGGCCTTTTTATTGTACATGTTTGAACTCACGTATGAAATGTGTTTTAGCGGATTGTGAAATATTCTAATGCGGGTTTTACAGATTGCTGTGTTTAGATCATTGTGTGGGGGCTGCGGTGTGGCCTGGCGCTCCTTTTTTTTCTTGGGGCAGGGAACCTGAATTGTGGCATCCTGGTAATAATAAAAGCTTATTTCCATATGTCTGTTGTGGGCTGTTTCTTATATCTGGTGCCCAGTTTAGCCAAGTGACGAACGTGCACAATTGTGAAGTTTTACCTGTTACACCAGCTTGTAAATAGTTCTCAGTAATTGCTTGTGTGATTATAAATGTGCTGTCTGTTATGTCATGTATCGTGGTTAGTGTTTATTGTTGTATGTAGTGTGTGTGTGTGTGTGCATGCACCCACCGTGTATGAGGAGTAAACGGGGCGACGTGCACGGTGAGCAGTGCCGGTGTATGCGTTGTAGTAGTGTGGGTATTATAAAGGCCATCTGATGATTAAACCCCGAACTATCCGTGCTGTTTAATTATTGCGAGCATGACTCAACAACCCACTAATATAATACTTTATTATAAATATTAGTGTGTGTGTGTGCGCGCGCGCCCGTGCCCGTGCCTGTTTGCTAGCCTGGCGCCGCTGAGTCACGTGACAGCCAGGAGCGGCAATTGACAAGAGCACCTGGCTGCACACTCCACTGTGGAGTCACTTCCGCTGCAGTCTCCACTCCCAGGACATCTCCACTGTCGGTACAGGAAATAACAAGGTGTGACTCCACCCCCTTCAATAGCGGAGAGTGAGCTGATGAACAGCGGTAAGTGCCTGATTTTCATTATCCACAGAAAGTAGTCTTGTCTTGTGTCGGGCTGCAGTGTTAGGTATTAAGCGATGGTGGTTGAATGGCGTGGAAATGTGTTTTTTTTTTTTTTCTCTTTTGGGTATATAATAATTACCGGTGTTTTCTTAGACTCGGTGCCAGGTGACGGGGGCGTGTCTGGGTTTATGCCGAAGCCCAGGTAGGATGCAGGTGGATATATGGTGCATATAATAAATATTGACCTCATGTATTTTGTGGGTATGGTATAAATTGTGTGCATATGTTTGCAGGAGTTGTCATTGCTGTTTTGCCTGTTTTGTTTTATTGCTCTCGTTTTTGTGAGAAGATGATGTAGTTTGTGTTTTTGGTATGGTTGCTACCATGACTACCAAGGCTAACTGGGTACTGGCTGGCCTAATTGGTGGGGGTCCTGAGGGTAGTTCATTGATCTTCTTTTATCCATAGAGCCGGACAACGTGGTGCTGGAGTTTTGGGGGTTGGTGTGGCCTTCCCTTCACTGCATGGATTGATTGCGGGGTGAACTAAGAAGCACTAGTTCTATGCTGTGGCTTGCTCTGATTTTTGTGTGTGTAACTTGCACCTGGATATGTGAGCTCATAGTGTGTGTGTGCTGTGGTGTTTCCTTTCCCCTCTCTCTCCAGGTAATCACTCTCCCTGGCTGGTTTACTGGTCAAGGTGTAACCATAGCATTGGACTGCCAGTACCTGGGTTTTGACCTAAACCCCTCCTTCCTGTTCAGTGTTTGTCATGCTGTGACATGCTGGTAATTGTTTATAAGCTGGGTTGTTTTAAAGGATAGTGTCAATAAATTGTTTTAGTACTGGGATATGAGTCTCTGCGTGTTTATGCAACGTAGCTGCGTGTGAAAATTCTGGGGATAACATCATATATCCTAAGGGGCAGGGCCTTCGGTGGCGTACTCTGGTCTCTTATGTGACTCTGACGTGAGGTTGCACTAAGTATTTTTTTTTTGGTGCATGGCGTAAAGAAACTGTGAATAACTGTGTTTGGATGTTTAAAACATTTTTGTAAACCCTCCTTGCATTAGCTGAGCAATGCATCATTACAAAGTTGAAAACGTGTTTCTGAACTCACAAATGTGATACATATTTCTCATAGCCAAGCTACGGCAATGAGCTAACATACACAGCCGTACATAAGGTAGACGGGTTAAAAATACTTTAATCTCAATTTGCACGTGTCTGCACAATGAGTTTTGAATAGAGGACTTTTCCTTGTAGTGGAGTATTTTCATAGTCTGGTATTATTCCTTTAACTTAAAGGAGCTGAGAACTTCTTGTACCAGTGGTTATTTGCCTTTGAAAAGAAGAGTTAGTGAAGATATAAAGTTTTCCAATGGTTCAGGCTGTCTAGTGCAGTTTAAAGTGTCTTTAAATTTAAACTGTAAGCAAAGATATTCTACATTTGACCAGCTGCATAACTTAATTTGAATTGAAGTTCATGTGCTGT